AAAGTGACATTATCTTCTAATTAAATTGAACCTATTTATTCTAAGGTTGTTTATTTATTTATTTTTATTTATTTATTTTTTTATTTTTTTTTTGAACGATCTTTGCTTGGATTTATTTACTTATTGTGACAGTTAATGTCATTTTTCATGTTAATGGGAGATAATGTCACTTGAATTTTCTTTGTGCTTGTTCGTGGAATGATTAATTGCTTGTTTGTTTGCTTTATTTTATTTAATTTGCAAGCTTTATTATTATTATTTTTTTTTTTTTTTTTTTTTTTTTTTTTTTTGTTTTTTTGTTTGGCTGGGTTTGGCGGAATTGTTTATGTTCAATTATACTTTGCTCATTAATATTTAATATGACTTACTTTCTATTGTATACTTTGTTTGCTTTCTTAGTCATATTATTATTTCTGATTGTTGTTTTTCTGACGTGTCTGATACCTCAGTAATGTTAATATTATTATGCTTCATTGTTTTTAGTCCTTCCTTTTCTTAATAACAGAATGACATAATTTATAGCATTTTCTTCATAGAAAATCTTTTAATTATGGATTGGCGTAGGATTTTCCTTATCTATATTTAGGTCTGGTGACGTCATTGTAATGTTACCTGGGTTAGTTGTTTTGGTTTATTGAATTTTTGTAATTCCTACGCCGTCTATAAATATTCAACAGTGCGCGTAATCTGCACAGTTTTTGTCAGACACGTTCAGTTATCAGTCGTTTCTTACTTGTTCTTCAATTTTGCCACTCCCTCCCACCCTGTTTTTTTGATTAAATGTTTGAATGTGAATGTATTATTTGTGTAATGTTAATTTTTGGAATGTGAATGTATTATTTGTGTTATGTTAGATTTTGGAATGTGAATGTATTATTTGTGTTAATTTAAATATTGGAATGAAAATGTAATATTTGTGTTTTGATATGCTTATGCTTTATATTTAATATCATGACGTTTAAAGTGTTTTTCATTTCTGATGTTTAATAATTGATGTGCGGAATTGTTATGTTCAATTATACTTTGCTCATTAATATTTAATATGACTTACTTTCTATTGTATACTTTGTTTGCTTTCTTAGTCATATTATCATTTCTGATTGTTGTATTTCTGACGTGTCTGATACCTCAGTAAAGTGTTAATATTATTATGCTTCCTTGTTTTTAGTCCTTCCTTTTCTTGATAACAGAATGACATAATTTAGCGGTAGGCGATTGCGACATATAGCGTTGATTGCGACATATAGCGTCAGCGTTGCGACATTTAGCGTTAGTTGCGACATATAGCGGCGTTGCGACATATAGCGTTGCTACACACATTATAAGTTCTATATTGCTATGCATCCTCTACGCTGCTGTGACGAGTTGTAAATTTCGTCAAACATTAACGGAACCACCTCCACGATCGCATGAAATAAATTGTTTTGTTTGCAGTTCTTATTGACTTATACTTTACTCTTTTTAAAGGATTTACTTCAGACTTTCCATTTTGTTTCTATTTAAAATATTTCGTACATACATATGATTTTAATATTCTAAACATTTTAGCTTAAAATTCAAAAATATGCTCAATGTCATAATCCTTATGATACTACTTACAATATGCAAATAAACCAGTTTTAGTTCGGTCGAGTATTTTTTTAAAAGATACTCTTTGTTTAAAGATACTTCTTGTTCTGTCTTAAATATATACAATATCTATGGTGGCTGATTTGTGCCATTCGTGTTTTCACCCCGCGACCCCGCCAAGCGAAAAGTCGATAATTAACAAATTAAAATGGCGGGTGCGATGAACGAAAACACGCTAATTAAAGTGGCGGGTGCGGTGAGCGAAAACACGCTAATTAGTGAGGGCGCGGGACGAAGTTTAATAAATAACACTTTACCCCGCGGATGCGCGGGGCGAGATTTAAGAAATAAAACGGCAGGGGCGCGAAGCGGAAACTCTTGTTTACGTTCCGCGCTCCCGCCATTTTAACTTGTTAATTATTGCCTTTTCGCTTGGCGGGGCGCGGGACGAAAACACGCTAATTAGCGAGGGCGCATATATAACTTATTAAACTTCGCCCCGCGCCCTCGCTAATTAGCGTTTTTTCGCTGTGCGTCTCCGCCATATTAACTTGTTAATTTTCGACTTTTCGCTTGACGGGGTCGTGGGGCGAAAACACGAATGGCACAAATCAGCCACCATATATTAGTGACGACTTCCAATTATGATCCGAAAACATGACTGTATTAAACTTTAGCAGTTTTAAAAACTGATGACTAAGTGGTTTTTTCCATCACTTGTTCTTGTTCTTTTCGGCTACAACCACGAATTTGCCTATAACTACGTATACACCGACAATCTCGACAACGATTACGACATCTACTTCTCTAAGCACTACAAGTACGACTACGACGACGTCTGCAACTACTTCAATTTCTACGACTTTGCGGAGACAACGGCCACTACTATTTCTAATTGAACGACAACATGAACGGCAGCGATCACTAAGATAACTACTACTTCGATCTCGAATACGTCTTTTATGACTTTATTATTACGAAACAGCTACGATGACTACTAAAACTACGACTTTTTCATCTACGCGTATGGATAAGAGTATAACAAGGACCAGGACTAGGACAACTGTGTCTTTTTGACGTCTTTTTACCACGAAGATCAAAACGACTGTGACAACAAATACGATATTTATGATTTAGTTTCACGTAAACAGCTACGACATATGTACAAACAAGGACTTCTTTGACTACAAGTACGGATAAAGCTACGGCAACGACCACGAAAACGACTTCAAAAACTACACCGACGAGCACGGTCACGACAACGACCAAGACTATGATTTTAAAAACTATGTGCGACTTTGACCAGGAATAAGATTTAACGGCTACTGGCCGTTATCTAGGACGACGACCTCGACCTCTGGTATTCTAGACTTCCATAGTATTGGTACAGTTACTACTAAGGACCATGCATGGCCTTATTCTCCGTATTCTAAAAATATACGAACAAATATGCGTACATGTATATGGCACAAAAACGGAATTCATACATGCCTGATCAATATCTTTATCATTTTTGTGAATTTATTGACCCAGCGGCCTGGTGGCGTGAAGTTGGCGGCCTGGCCGCTGGGCCGCTAGGCCGCCAACTTCACAAAAATGATAAAGATAAAACGAAAAGTTTTCGCAAAGTGATTTTTTTTTAATTTTTAATATACTTTTTAAATATCAAGAAAAGTCTTGAGAACTTCATTAAGTGCCGATTTTATGTTGTTTTTTTTTTTATAAATTTCTACGACAGTATATTTCCGGCTCCCAGGCCGCTGGAAAACAAAAAAATCTGAATGTTATTTTTTTCTTTTATGTAACTTTTAAATGATAATATATGCCTTTAAAACTTTATTTACAGTCGTTTTAGTTTCTTTGACAAACTTCTACAACATTCAAAATTTTAGGCCGCTAGGCCGCTGGGCCAACTTCACAAAACATATAAAGTTTTCTCAAAGTTATTTTTTTCCTTTTACACATTCTTTAAAGAACTAAGAATTTAGAACTTCATTAAATGCCGTTATTTTCTTTTTATAACATTTCTACAACATTAAAATTATAGGCCGCTAGGCCGCCAGACAAAAATGATAAAATGAACAAGTTCCCTTAAAGTGATTTCTTCTTCTTACCTTTTAAATATCAAGAATAGTCTAAGAGCTTCACTAAGTGCCGTTTTTATTGCTTGTACAGTAAAATTTCCGGATCCCAGGCACCTTGAAATGAATGGGATTTTTTTTGTATTATGTTACTTTTAGATAATAAGGTATGTCTTTAAAACATTATTAAGAGTCGTTTTAATTTCTTTGACAAACTTCTACAACATTAAAAATTTTAGGCCGTTGGGTGCCAGGTCATAAATTCACAAAAATTATAAAATATTTTTTCTTTTTATATATCATTTTAAAAACTTATAATAACAAGAACTGTCTTCAGAACATCATTAATTGCGTTTTTATTGTTTTTATAACATTATCACAAATTAAGAAATTAGGCCACCAGGCCGCTTGGGCGCCATCTTCACGCCGCAAGGGCGTTGGGCCGCCAGGCAGCCAACTTCACACATCCTGAATATATGAAACGGGACAATACATTCCCGTAAATAAGCGTGTTTTTCACAGTAAACTTCAGTAAAATTACGCTTCCCAAATGAGAGGGATAGCCCCATTTTTTCCTGAATAATAGAGCCAAAAATGGTTATCACCACCGGAAGGTGCTTTGATAAAAAACACTCTTAAAACGTGATGTATAGGAGGCCGCCCTGCCGATCTTTGATCACATTCCGCCGACTTGAAGAGCATTTGATGACCCACTTTTGTTGATAGATAAAATTGTTAAAACATAGTCGTTACTGATTGTATTAAAATCTAAGGCCCTTACTCCGTGGTCGCTGATTATTCGTCTTCCCTGGTTGCCATAGTGCAAACCTCTTTAATATGTTTACAAATATTGTTTTGGCGTGATTTGAAATAAGATTTTTATTGAAATATGTAATCGTTAGAGAGATTGTTATATATACACATTTTTTTCAGACATTTTTTGGCTACATTTTTTGTTTAAACTTTAGGTCGCCACGCTGTGTTTAAGAAAATAAAGTGCGGGCCTCAGCAGCTTGACTTCTTCTAGAGCTGAAACATGACAGTGGATAGTGATAAAGTACTTTAGATAAACGTGTAGAATAATATTTCTGCAGAAAAAATCAAGTATTACACAAGGAAGATAAGTATGCGATCAGTGAATTATAACATTGAAAGATTTTAAAACTTTGGATACATAAAATGGTGGAAGTGAAAGAAAATGTACGAGATTCTCCCAGAATGACAAAGAACGAAAAGATTGTAAAGACCGTGTTTCTTGTTTTGGTCTGGGTTTGTTTGGTAAGTGAAATGGAATTTTATATCACCCGATTGAAGATAATTAAGTGACTGCGACAAATGAAATGTTTCTTTTTCTTTCTCTCTCCTTTAGTGACCAGGAGCTACATAAAATTACATTACACATTACATAAAACGCGATAGTACGATGGTGAAAACGCGATAGTACGATGATGAAAACACGACAGTACGATGATGAAAACACGAAATCACGAAACTACGATGGTGAAAACGCGACAGTACGATGGTGAAAACACGATAGTTTATCGCGTTTTCATCATCGTAGTATCGTACTGTCGCGTTTTCATCATCGTACTTTCGCGTTTTCATCATCGTGCTTTCGCGTTTTCACCATCGTAGTTTCGTGATTTCGCGTTTTCACCATCGTACTATCGACTATCGCGTTTCAGATCAACACATTCATAGGCAATGGCCCTAACGGCATTCCGTAATATTCACGCCTGCCCAACGCCAACCACTTTAAACCAGGTGCTACTGATTTGTGCTAAATCGTAGAAAATTCAGTTTTCTTCTTCGATGATGTAGTCCGTGTTTTTAGCTTCTCGTGCTTTTTATCTCATAAAAATATATTTTAAGAGATTTAAGTGCAAAACCATACGACTCGTTTCGTAAGACATTTTTTCATTTTATATATCAAAGTCATTTACTTCTTTAATTTGAATTAAATGCCGACAGCTTGCAATAAAGTACCAGTGCCAAAGAATACAACAACATTTATTTTTTATTTTTGTATAGGACTGCAGTGTTGTACCGTGTATAACTAACGACGTATATAGTTACACGTGAGCGGTAAACGTTGGTTAAAGTGTCGTCTTAAAAAGAGATGTCGTAGTTACCGTGGGCGTAAATGATGTCGAATCTGTATTCGCAGAAGTCCTACGAAGTTGTAGTTGGTAGTTGGAATCCTAAAATTCGAAGTCATGGTCGTAGCCGCCGAAGCTGTTATCGTTGTCGTCATTTTCATAACCGTACTTGACATTGTAAAAGTCATAGTCATGGTCGTTTATCGAAATTGTCGTTATCTTCGGGGTCGTAGTCGCACTTGTAGTCGTATAATTTGTTGTCGTAGAAACGGTCCTAGTCGTAGACAAACACGTAGGCGTAGAAATTGTAGTAGTAGCTGTATTCGTAGTCATTTAAGTTGTAAAAATCGTTGTGATGGTCGAATTCGTCATGGTCGTAGCCGAACTTGTATTCGTTAAAGTCGTAGTCGTGATTGTTGTCGCCGGCGTAAGCGTAGTCTAGCCTGTTTGGTCATCTTACAAAAATGAGCTATATACGGTGCTATGCAGCATCTTAACGTACACAGCTAGCGGTGGCCGTATCCAGTGTATACGGTGTTACAGTCAGAGTCGTAAGCTGTATACGGTGCAAAACTGAAAAAAATAACTTTCACAACTCCGGCATTTCCTTACAGATTTTTTTAAACTATGTAATTGTTTGATTTTATTACCCTGTCAAGTGCATACTGATTATAATACGGTCAATGCACCCATTGTATTAATTTTCGATATATGTTCGGTAAGTTTCGTGACATGTACGCAGTAAGATATGATTTAATTTAATTTATGTCTATGAACTAATTATACTGAGCGTTATAGCGCAATAGGATAAACTGCCTTAGTTTATAATATCTAAATGTCGCACGTGTTGTACAATCTAGACCGCGTAGATCCATGTTTTTACTTATTTATATTTTCAACATTACTGAAGCTATAAGTGTATTTAGCTCACCTAATAACAAAAAACAACAAAAAACGCGCTCATGGTGAGCTATTGTGATGGCCCGCCGTCCATCGTCGTGCGTCGAGCTGTATTTAAAAAGTTTTACTTAAATTAAAAAGGGGGAGGAAAGACGCTTATACGCGTACGTATTCAATAAAAATCAAAGGGCTGCAGCTCTATGGTATTTTCTGATCTTTGCAATCTTAATCATACTGACTATCTGTATGTATTTTCCTGTATAAGTTTATTTTTATATACTATAATTCATCTTACGCAGCGACAGCATTTAGATTTTTTTCTATAACAGTTTGAGATTGATACATATGGAATTTTGCATGACTAGAGTTGCATTTCATTTTTTATGACAGCCACACTTTATCCTTGCATATCGTGGCTACTTCCATAAAAAAGACACTTTAAATTGCCTCGACTAGGATTTGTTCCTTAAGCCTCTCACACCCTAAACGAGCGCGCTACCTCTGCACCACGGTGGAGTAATACGTATGTACCTTGAATAAAAAAGGAATACATTATGTAATTCTAAAATAGATAAATACAGAATCCCTAAAGAAAGCCCAACACGGCAAAATTGAAAATGTTGCAGGCTCGGTTTGATTGAGCCTGTTCATGGACGGTAATGGAAAGTGCAAGTTACCGTCCACGCCCCCTAGCACCGGCTTAAGCAGAATTCAACATTTAAATATGAAATGGTAAAATTTTGAATTTAGAAACATCCGCAGATGTTTTCATACGGCGGTTATCATGGAACCTTCAATGTGACACAGTAATGCCATTCCATGAAAAGCGGCGTATGGTCCCCAAGTAAAAGAATGCTTTTGCCCTAAACGAGAAAACAATGGGCGGAACTAAATAAAATGGAATTTTGAAAGGGGATCTGAGGTTATGAAGCCTGCGTATCACAGATAAGACGTCAAAAGACAATTTTAAAAAGCAGGCAACATATCCTTAGGGTGATTCAACATTATTCAAGTAGGAATATTGGAACCACCCAACTAGAAATGCCGAAAAGTTAAAACTAAAAATTCCACAAGCACAACAATAATGTCGTGCTGAACGATCTTCAAGGATCGAAAATATAACATCATTGATTAAATGTAAATTGAGAATTTCCATTTCGTGTTTGTAATCCTTATTAATTTCGAGGTATTTTGTCCACAATAAACCTGTTGTTTAACACTGATGAAAATAATTTAGCGAAAATCTTCTCGCCAAAACAGTCCGACATGTATATATTCCACTACTCGACTGTGTACTACGCGGTAATCGACATAGCTAAAAATAGCATTTTCATTGATTAAAATGATATTCATCCGAGTGCATTCATGATAATCCGAAGCTTTACGGAAATAGCCGAACATTTTTCATTGGATAAAAAAGATATTCATCCGCGAAATTTGTGATTGTAACCTCATATTTCTATTGACTAATCTAAACGTTTAATGCACTGTAATTCGTTTAATGCCTACATTAAAAATTATTCTTTCTTTTAAATTGCTGGGTTTTTAAGCAGTTTTGAGTGAGAACTACTTTGCGTTGTTAGGTCTGTAAGGAAATTTTGTGTTAGACCGTGGATGTTAGCTTTGTATTTACTGATCTTGCCATCAGAAAATACAAAAACCTAAAAACTATATTAATGAATTGCTTTAGTTAATGCAATTATTATTTATAATAAATGCCTTACATTTAAAGGGGGAGACGCTTATACGAATAAAGGACTGCACAGTAACCAAACTTTACAAGAATGATCCTTGGGTGGCCCCCTTTCAAAGTTGTTCAAATGGTTCCGGTCTGTTGCATAAATATGTCACGGGGTCAGAAATGTGTTTCAAAATGCAAATTTAAAAAATCTTCTTGTCTGAAAGTACAAGGCCTGGTATTTTTTGGTATTTTTTTTCTTTGGTATTTTGTATACGATATCATGATATCATCTGTAGGTTCTCTACCAAAGTTGTTAAAATTTTGTCCCTAGTGTCAAAATTGGCCCCAACCTGGGGGTCATAGGTTTTCATTATATGTATATAGTAAAAACTTAAAGAACTTCTTCTCTGAATTGATAAAGGCTAGAGGTTAGATATTTGGCATGAAACAGTGTGTGGTGGACCCCTGCCAAGGTTGTTCAAATAATAGCATTTGGGTCAAAATTGGCTCCGCCCGGTGATCATTGATTTTTATTAAGTACATATAGTAAACCCGTAAAAACGATACTTCTTGTATTTAGAGGTTTGATATTTGGTATATAATATCATCTACAGGTCATCTACAATCTACCATCTACCAGTGTCAAAATTGGTCCAACTCCGGGGGTCATAGGTTTTCCTGATATGTATATAGTAAAAACATAAAAAAAATCTTCTAATATTGTGCATACACACCTCTACCAAGATTGTTCAAATTTTTGCCATAGGAGAAAAATAGAGCTTGAAATGACATGAAATATTGTCTGGGGTTAAAATTTTGCCATGCCCAAGGGGACATAGTGACCTACTTTCCTGTCCTTTGGTGTATAGCCATGAAATTTTGACCATGTGCACAGTTTGAGATGTACATTGAATCTTAATATCAACTGACCTAGATTTTAACCCATTACCCGATATACACGCCTTTTAACGCCTTTTACACCCCACCCCCCTTTTTTGTTGTAACAAATGGTGAAAAATATCTTATTTAGGCCCCAAACACTTGTTTTTGTTAGAGAAATGTTGTTTAAAAAAGTGACTACTTTTTCGGCGCGGCCCTCTTACCAAAAGATACCTCAGGAGGTTGCCATGTGCCCCCTTGTGTTTGGGGGGTGGGGTGGTTTGAAGGGGGCGGCAGTCCCCCTCACCGCCAAGAGAATTTTGGGCTTGTGAGAGGCTAAAAATGAACCCAGATCGATCATAAGGTAACGTGTAACCAACGCTGAAAAGCATTTGACTCTATCTCAATCCATTGAGAATTTGCAGCACTTTTGGACCATTCAAACAGTTTGATAATCAGCTGACCTAGATTTTGACAAGTGACCTACTTTCTTGTTCTTTGATGTACAGCTATGAAATTTGGACCATGTGCACATATTTAAATGTAAAATTGAACTTTGATACCAGCTGACATAGATTTTAACAGCGAGCTTTTCGGTAACGCGAGTACCTGCTAAAGGTGATAGTTTTAAAAACTTTCGTCCGAAGTACTGATTTGACACATCGCAACTTTTAATTTACATGATAAGGATAAAAACCGAGGAATTCTGACTGAAAACG